AACTAAGCACTGAAGAACTTTATGAATTCTGATGTCTTAAATTTTTAATTTGCAACAGATTCAGTATGCTGAAGAACGCCTCCTCATTTAATCTATATTCCTGTGAAACAGACGTGTGTGTGTGTGTGTGTGTGTGTGTGTGTGTGTGTGTGTGTGTGTGTGTGTGTGTGTGTGTGTGTGTGTGTGTGTGTGTGTGTGTGTGTCAGGGGGATGATCGTCGATGCAGAGAGGCGAATGGAGCTGTTCTTGCTTCGTGATTATTTTTAACGCTGTGACTCAGTCTGAGTCAACTTTATTAAAGATCCCCTTGCTGTATTTCTGAACTCATTCATACAGACCCATTCATTTATTTAGAGGACTTCTATTCAGAGTTTCTCTTTCCTCTGGCCAAAGGAACGGTGAACATTGAGTGTGAGCTCCAAATTATTCCAAAAGAATGGAGCAAAAATAGGACATTGTCTTACACAACCAAAGTGCAATGGACACACTCCAGCTCCCTACAGCCACATTATTTTGTCGGGCAAACTAAAATAATCCCAGGTCTACTATGCGGTTGTTTTTGTTTATGCGGTCTGTTTTGAACAATGAATGGATTATACTCTGCCCTTCCTCACTTCAAAAACACTCTGACTGTTATCCTCCTAATTGATTTCAGTAACTCTTTGTGTTACGACTAGGTGTTATTAATCGTCTGCTAAAGACAGCTATAGTCAATGCTTATTTCCATGCTCTGTGTCTGCTCATTCATGATGAGTGGGTGTTGTGTCTGCGTTTCAGCGAGCTAATTTCAGACACAATTCAGGCTCCCTCCTGGAACATGATGAGACTTTCACTTATGCTCATTCTGGTTAGCTGAAATGATTTGAGAATGTGTGATGTAATGAATGCTCTCTCTACCAGGGCTGTAAATCCCACGTTTCATCACAAAAGGATATATCAATTATTTGAAAAACAATGCAGTATTTGCCATAAATCCCGCCACCATTTCTTTCAATATCATTAGGGAAGCAATCCAGACGATATCTCAGGTGAGTAAATAACAATCAGTTATATTTAAATCAACTCTCAAAATAGGATTTGGCAATTTTTTAAAGTGGACTCTTCCAGGCATTTAAATGAAGGGAAAAAAACAACCTATTAGCGAATTTTAAAGATGATATATGTATCAATGTTTCCACTTTGCATCAATGATATTGGATTATTGAGCATTTAATCAATGTAATGATGTATATCAAATAGTGTTCATTTTGTCAGCTATTTTTTTATTTAGTCTTAGTCCTGTGTCAAATGTCCTTGTTAGTTTTAGTCACCTTCATCCTGGTTTTATTTAGTCTACTTTTAGTCGACTAAAAGTCTGAGCATTTTAGTCTGATTTTAGTCAAAGACAACTAACTATTTTAGTCTACTTTTTTTTAATGAAATCTGTTGACATTTGAGTCTTTTTTTAGTCATCAGATTATATTGAACATTTCAGTCAAACTAGTCTAGCCAAAACCAATCATTTGTCATTTTAGTCAAACTTATTTCACAATAAGATTATATCTTGTCCTTATTGGATGAAAAACACAGGTTGAATGATGAAGAGTGCAGCTTAGCAGACTGCAGAGAGTATCTGGTCAGGTTTGAGGTGTTTTACCTGTGTTATGGCCACACTGCTTCCCTTCTGATAAAACAATGCATTTGCTTTTTTTCTCATTGTAGCGAAAATGGGCCCAAATATCGCCTCGTTTCTTTCTGCCAAGCAGTGGTGACGTTAGACTTTTTCGTTGTCAGTCCTTTTTAATAATAATAATAATAAATGGGATTTATATAGAGCTTTTCTAGACCCAAAGACGCTTTACATTATGAGTCAGGTCGACAAACAAAACAAGAACAAAAACACAAACAAAAACAAAAACAAAAACAGAAAAGCAGTCAGGAGGATGTTGGTTCAGAGGGGGGAGGGGCGGGTTTAAGGATAAGCAGAGTTGAAGAGGTGGGTTTTGAGACGGGACTGGAACAGGGTGAGGGAATCAGACTCACGGAGGTCTTGGGGGAGGGAGTTCCAGAGCTTCGGGGCTGCCACAGAGAAGGCTCTGTCCCCGAAGCTCCGGAGTTTGGCCTTGGGGATTGAGAGCAAACCGGCTGAGGTGGATCTGAGGGACTGGGGTGGTTGGTAGAGGATGAGGAGGTCAGTGAGGTAGGGGGGGGCCAGATGGTGGAGGGCTTTAATGCGACCACTACACCACCAAGCCCTGTTGTTTCCATTTCCCTTTCTGTTAAATCCTTTTTCGTCAACGAAAGTAAAGAGAGATTTTGGCAACGTTTTTAGTCAGTAAACTACATTTTCGTCTCGTCACTTTTCGTGAACGATATTGCATGATGATGTCGTTACAGTTATTGTTTACTGACGTCGGTGCCGTCTCGTCATCGTCTCGTTTTAGTCATGGAAAAAAAGGTTGTTGACGAACATATTTCGTCATAGTTATAGTCAACGAAATGAACACTAATATCAAAGCATCATCACATCTCTGTGTTCTTACACAATAGAAACAACATTCAGAAAAAGTGCATTTGTGTAAGCTTACATATTTGTAATTTGTTTCTATTTTATAAAACCCCTCTCGAGAGTCTGAGTCCTGAAGGATCTGTTAATGAATGTTCTGAAATGAAATCACTTTCAAGCGGCTAACACACACTTCATGTATTAAGTGCTACGGAGCTGTAGCTGATAGTATTTGTGTTTGTTTAGATTAGTTCTAAACATGTATACATGTTGTTGTTGTTGTTGTTGTTGTTGTTCTCAGGTCAGTGTCTGCAGGCCTCAACTCTCCTGCCAAGACCAACTCTATGGAAAAGAAGCTACATCTTAAAAGCAAAGAATTACAAGATACTCAAGACAAATGTCACAATGTGAGGATCTACTTCTCGCCATTTTGTTCTCTTTTATACATGTTTTAGTCATTCATCACAAGCCTCAATGACAAATGAGTCATTCGTACTTTTAAATGTAAAATCAGCTTCATCAACAAAGACAGAAATGACTAAGTAAGTCCACTGTTTGCAGACTGGAAACAGAGACACCTAATCTATCGATGTTTCCATATTGTAGGACTTATAATACTTATTTATACTTAATTATTAGATTATGTTTCATAACCAGACGTTTATTCTGGCTAACTGGCTGAACACAGATCAACAGGCTTCTGGTGCTGCTGTAACATGCCAACTTATTCATGTTGTGTTCAACATTACAAACCCATTTGAAGCATTGCTTTGGTGATCCGTCTATCTTTAGCTTTGAATTTGAGCACCTTCAAAGCAAAACCGCTTTAAGTCGTTGACCTTTAGAGTTTCAATGAAATGGTAACTGTGCTGTTCTCCGATGGATACAGATGGATCAGGACATCTCCAGGTTTCAGCGTAAAATGACTGACCTGGAGTCAGTGCTCCACCAGAAGGATGTGGAGCTCAAGGCCTCCGAGACTCAAAGGGGCATCCTGGAGCAAGACCTCGCCACTTACATCACTGAGTGCAGTGTGAGTCATCATAACAACTGCGTCTGTGTGCAGAATTTGAATAAATGTTTAAACATGTACACATCGGGTGTCCATGTCCTCCGCCCCTCAACAAAAATCTGTATTGATTTGTCCAAACGGCATCCTTGTGGTGGCACATGTGTGTTTGCAGAGCCTGAAGCGGAGCTTGGAGGAGGCGCGTGTGGAGGTCTCCAGAGAGGATGACAAGGCCTTGCAGCTGCTGCACGACATCCGCGAACAGAGCAACAAGCTGCAGGAAATCAAAGAGCAAGTATGTCATTTTCATTCAAGAGATGCGCAGTCCCCTCCCCCTCATCACGATAATGATGTGGTGCATTTTAACATTTTTTTTGTAACACTTCAAGATATTTAAGCTAAAGAAAAGCAAACTGAAACGGAAAGAAATATTTCCTCCTTCATATTATTTGAGAACACTCTTCTGCTTTCCGCAGTGTCTTCTTCACGCTGCTTTAGCTGATAGAGGAGTAGCAGTGAGATTAGACTCTTCTCAGTGTGTCCCTGTTGCAGGAGGGGCTTCCCCTCTGAGGACTCCCTCGTCCTCAACACCTCCATAAAGGTCATTCCTGCAGAACTTCATGCCTGCAAGCTACAAAGTTGCAGGAGACTTTGATCACTACTCAAGAGATTCGCTCAGCCTCCTCCCAGTGGAACCACACACAGTATTTAACGAGTTTTAATCAACATTTAGGACTCAAATTACAATCTTAAAAACCCCTCTGTGAGACCCATTGGAGTGGCCTGGTGTATCTTACTGCAGTGTCTTCTGGTATACGTTAAGTTACACATCACAAAGCTATGCGTTTACCAACATGTTTTCTCTGCAAACACTTTTGAAGACGAAACCGTTATTTTGATTTAGTGCAGAGTTGCCAACTGCAGTTTTTAAAGTTGTAATCATTGAGTTGTTACCTGTGATTTTGACACTTTTGGTGATAAATGGACATTGCTTTAGTGCACTGCGGTTCCTATAGATCACTGCACAATGAAACCGTGTCAGCAGATCTGTAAAGTGTATCTGTACCTGGGTGCCATTGGCAGGATTTGTTGCTCTTACTAAGCTCAGCTGCTCCGTTCTAGTCGTTCTAAACAAACTCCCTCTGCTGTTGTATTTTGTCAAAACGTACACATAAAAACCGGCTCACTGTTTTTATGAAGAAGCCTAAATAGAACATTTATGTAAGGAAAACACTGAATAAACTAGCTTGTCATTGGTATGTGCTAAAACAATGCTGAGTTCAATCGTTTTCTAATCAATTCATATTTGAAAATGTCACGGCTTAATACTTGACAAGTTTTTCTTTGTTGAGAAAGAAAATGTGTTTTCCCTAAAATAAAGAAAAAAAAAAAATCTTCTCACTTAGATGCCGACTGACTTGGTTCAAGCTTGCAGAGAATGAGTGTGATCACAGCCTGAAGTTTATGGGCAGGTTTCAAAACATTTATTATAGGGGTGTCACATTTCAATCAGCAGTCCTGTTCTGCACACAACATTGTATTTTATAAGAGATATACAGTAAGACGGTTTCTGGATGGCTTTGTCTTCCACATTATTGACCCGTGTGTGTGTGTGTGTGTGTGTGTGTGTGTGTGTGTGTGTGTGTGTGTGTGTGTGTGTGTGTGTGTGTGTGTGTGTGTGTGTGTGTGTGTGTGTGTGTGTGTGTGTGTGTGTGTGTGTGTGTGTGTGTGTGTGTGTGCAGGAGTACCATGCTCAGCTGGAGGAGATGCAGGTCACCATCCGGCAGCTGGAGGAGGACCTCTCCGCTGCCCGGCGCCGCAGCGACCTCTACGAATCTGAACTCAGAGACTCCCGGCAAACAAGTGAGGACCTCAAGAGGAAAGCTGTGGAGTACCAGCAGAGGATCCAGAAGGTATGTTTCACACCAGACATGTTTAGACCTCATGTCATGCAAATGTCCATCAAGTAACATTAGGAGGGTCATGTTTTGTATCTAGTTTCTGAAACATAATTGAATATCATAATTGGTTGTTGGAAAAACCTGCCAGGTGCCACGGATAACAAACTTTACTCAAATCATTGAGATGCAAATCTAAAGTACACACTACTTTTGTTAGTCTCTCAGACTGTATGGTTGGAACATCTGTTACATTTAGTTATTTATAAATATCATAAGCCAGCAATGTATTCTATATGAACCTATAACAAGGGTTCACAACTGAGCGTTCGTATACTACACTACAATGAAGAGAAATACATAATAAGAGCTTTGAAAGTTTGACACTGAAAATAAGCTAGAATCTTAAACGTGCCAGCTCAGAAAGACCAAGATTTTACGTTTTTTAATTTTTGTCCCAAGTCTTCTCCTTTTCCCTGCTCCTTGGGCAAGCACACAATCAAACAAAGCATTTATACGTATGATACTGTCCTTTCCTCTTATGGTTGTTTTGTAGTGTCATATAAAACTCGATGCCATCAATCCAGCATTATCAAATAAAAAAATTGCAGGCCACTTAGTCTGGCAGACTAATGGACTTTATTACCTAATATCTATTTGAAAATGACATTATAGTATGTTTTTTGAAGCCTCAAAGATACACTTAAATATATGATATTCAGATTTCAGCTTAAAAATGAAAACATCTCTGACCCGGGGCCCTCTGCAGGAGTAATCACATCTCCCTTCTGGCCTCTTGGGGGCTATAGGAAGGCTGCTGCGCTCGCCCCTTTTCCACAGAAAGCACTAAAGAGCAGATGGATTATTGTTCTCTATTGATCTCCACTGTATGCCAATTACGTTTCAGGCTAAAGAGCAGGGCAAAGCTGACGTGGAGGAGCTTCTCTCCAAACTAGAGAAGGTAACCAATCAGGCTTGTCAGATTGATCTACATGCTCCCAGCTGTGGTTACAGTTCATGTTTTCAATGACTTCACTGTGCTTTGTTTCCAGACCAATTCTGAGCAGCAGGTGAACATCCAGGAGCTCCAGGATAAACTGTCCAAGGTAAATGCAATGCTGGCTTGGTTACTGTCTTATGAAATATTCCAGATTTTCAGTAAGATAATGTGTTCTTTAAATGGGAATAAATCCTTTCAGATTGTCATTTCTCCTGATCCTTTGTGAAGCAGGAGTATATATTCCACTCTGCAGCCTGCTGTAGCTTTCTGTTTATTCCCTCAAGAAGCATTTTATTCAATGTCACAGAGGGTAGGATTTGCTGAAGCATATCAGGAGGTTTGTCTTGGGAATGCACTAAC